AGCTCTACCGTCATTGACTGTATGATTGACAGTTGTTTAAGCATTCTGAGCCTTGGTGCTCAATAATAGCACAGGATCAATTTAACTTAATTTAGGAAATTGTTTGGGGATTCATGTAAAGTGTCTAATTCTGAGGAGGTGGGCAAAAACATCAGATATATTATTTGCATGATTTTCTGATAGAAAATTCCAGTATTAAAGCTAAAGGCTGATTCCTTACGTCCCCTTGCATTCTCTATCTAGCATTCTCTTTGTGAATTTGCCCATTAAACATCCTAGAAGAAAGGTAGAGTAGAAAAATAGATAAATATGTATGGATTTTAGGGAAGAGATCCAGGTGGAAAATATACATTGGACAGTAATCATCACAAAGATGGTATTTAAAACTATGAGACTAGATAAACATGGGAATGAGTATATATTGAAGTAAAAATGTTTTAAGAACTAAGCTTAGCAGATTGTGGACCAAGATGGTTACATAAGAGGCTCCTGAACATACCTCCTGCCAAGAATTCACAGAATGAAGATAGATCCATGGGAGATCTATCTGAGAGATGCAGACACTAGCTGAGTTGCACCACAACTAACAGAATACTCACATCACACAGGTAGGACAGGCTGAATCTGGTCTTACTACAGGATTTCACCTATCAAACATACTTTTGTTGTTGTTGTTGTTAATCCTCACCGGAGGATATTTTTCCATTGATTTTTAAAGAGAGTGGAAGGGACGGGGAGAGACAGAGATAGAGAAACATCTATGTGAAAGAGATATCAATTGATTGCCTCCCACACACACCCTAACTAGGGTCAGGGATCCAGCCTACCCTGAGCCAAATTGGCTAGGGCTCAAACATATTCTTATGATTCCAGAATTTATTTTTTCATCTCTGTCTTAGAATATATCATTGTCAATCTGTATTTTTTTTGGCACTTCTAGTAAAACATATCATTGTTTTTCCCCAAAACCTGTATTTTTTTTCTTTAGTATCTAGATGGATTTACCATCCATCTTGTCACCCAAGCAAGAAAGGATGCTGTCATCTTGAATATACCTCCTTTTCACTGACACCATATTTCAGTCTGCCCCTGCCCTCATAAAACTGATTAATTCACTTAGAAACAATCCCCATTATCACTGTTTTCTTCTATCTCTCCATCTTATTGGCATTCTTTAGAAAAAGCTCTAATCAGCTTTTATATGCACCTTGTCTTAGGCAAAGGCAAATTTTAAAAGGCCAATGGTACTATTCAAATATGTTAGTATAATTACTTTCTTTTTCCACCATGAACTGGCCACCCAACAGCAGAACTAAGAAGTCAACACTAAATAAATCAAAGCAATATCATTAAATAGTATTATTATAGAAATAATAAAGATGATGTATTCCTTTTACTTGTCAATCCTTTGTGTGGTAAATATAAGGACAAGAGTATCCAAGTTTGAGACCCTACCAGTATGTCTATCATTTAATTCCTTGTTGATATGAACTTACTTCTTTAAGAATTTATTTCCATGAATCATCAGTTCCAGATTTAGAATTAAGGGAAGTAAACTGAGATAGGTATTATGACTGGAAACGAGGTGATTTATAGTTTTACTGAATATTTAGAAATGCCATGCTCTCTAAAACTAATTTTTTTAATCTAATGCTTTATGAAGATTAAATAAAAGCAGCACTCAGAATGACATGCACCAAAGAACTGTGCAAACATTTCCTTAGTGTTGGCATTAGGAGCACTTACTTTTTTCAAAACATTCAAGGTTGGCGTCATTGGGAATAACTGGAAAGGCTAGAAGGTTTCAGAATGTGGCTTCAGATTTCACTTCTCATTACCTTGAAATAAAATCAAATATTGCATGAAATGTTCTCACAAATGTACCTTTTAACATTCTGAATTAAAAGCATATAATCTGAGGCTAGAAACTGGCTTTGACATACTTATCCCGGGAAAATACTTGGCTGATTCTCATTACAAATCTAGAACCCAATTTAAAATGCAAAGAATTTAAACTTCATTACAAGAATCAGAATTTTCTATGGAATTGTTCGTCTTTGTTGCTATATTAAATAAAAGTGTGTCCCTAAAGTATAGTCTCTGGGAAAAGTATAGTCTCTGGGAAAATTGTTCGTCTTTGTTGCTATATTAAATAAAAGTGTGTCCCTAAAGTATAGTCTCTGGGAAAAGTGGCATCCATTATTGAATGGTAGATTGAAAAGGATGCCCGTATAGAGGCATAATACAAAGCATTCACGCATAGACTTGAGAAAGAATGAGATATTAAAGAATAAAACAATTTTAGTTTATTTTTCAGCCTCTTATTTTCTCCTAATTTTATTTTAAATAATATTGATCAGACATTCCAGAATTACAATATAACTTTCTATATTTGTAGATTTAATTGTAACACCGAATCCCCAGAGCCTGTGAATGTGACTTTATATGACCAAAGGTCTCTGCACATGTGATCTTGGATAATCTAAATTGAGATTATCCTGGATTATCCGGGCGGGTCTGTAATCATGTCAGTCCTTATAAGAGGGAGGAAGGAGAGTCAATAAAGGGAGAAGGTGACGTGAAGACCAAAACAGACATTGGAGGAAGGGAGGGGCCAAGAGCCAAAGAATGCAGCAACCTGAAGGAGCTGGAAGAGGCAAGGAACACATTCTTCTCAGGATCCTGCAGAAGGTGCTAGCACTGCCACCTGGACTTTAAGCCCCAGAAGACTTAGTTCCAACTTCTCACCGTCAGAAAATTGTAGCAATTTGTGATAGGAAATTAGCAAAGTATATATTACTTTTAGATCATAAAAAATGTTATTTTACTAAAAATAAAAAAGTGAGAAGTTTTCTATACTTTTCAAGTAATTTTTATTAAATTGAAAAATTTATGGAAGTCTCTCCACATGTATGCACCTGTTGCCAATTTGACCTACAATTTAAGATTCACTGGAGAAAATGGTCAAACTGTCCTTCCTACTCTCACACAAACTGATAAATTATTTAATTTATTTTTGTTGTTGTTGCTGTTAATCCTCACCCGAGATATTTTTCCCCTGAGTTTTAGAGTGGAAGGGAGGGGGAAAAATAGATAGAGGGAGGAACATTGATGTGAGAGAGACACATTGATAGGTTGCCTCCTGAATCTGGGCCAGGATCAAGCCTGCAACTGAGGTATGTGCCATTGACCAGGAATCAAACCCAGTACCCTTCAGTCTGCAGGCTGATGTTCTATCCACTGAGCCTAACCAGATAGTGCCAAACAAATAAGTTTTGAAAGATAAAAGAAACAGTATGGCCCAATAACTTGCCATCAAAGTAGTCTTCATAGAACCATAGAAAACTAACTTTTTATATCTTAACATTATCAACAACAAAATTATTAGATCATGGGTCATATTTATAAATGTATATAGTTCAGTATTTGTCAGTTCTAAAATTCTTTATTTAATGTAATAGGATGTATATTGTTCTTCCTTTATGACCCACATCCTTTAAAAAGGAAAATGGGGTGGGGGGTGGGGGGTGGGGTGGGCTTGAAACCTAGTTCAGTATCTGGTAAAACTGTAGTCTTACTTCCCCACCACAGCTGACTTGGGCGGAGCTGCGGAGCATGCCCCCAAGGCCCCGCTACAGCTGACTTGGGTGGGGCTTTGGGGACCCTCAGGGCCCACCACAGGAGGAGATATATAGGTCACAGCCTCCCCACAAGTTCAGTTCAGGCTTTGGGTCCAGAATTCCCCTGGACTAGCAGATCTGAGAAATAAAGGTTAAACTTTCCTCCCTCAGAGTGCTGGCTGATCATTCTCCCGTGCATTCTGCCACAACACCTTCACAATCTGTGTTAGAAAGTCCTTCTTCTGCTATCTCTCCTGTGATAGGAGATGTTTGGCATAGATTCATCTCAACATGTCCCACTGAAGTCAGAACCTCCATCCTTGTGTTAAGCCCTCTCTCTATAAGGGCTTACAGAATAGAGCATTTATTGGATGGCAAGAACTCTAAGTCTCCAGAGATCCAAATTTCACTGTGATTTTTCCCTGTGAGAATCTAGAGTCCTTGTTTCATGTACAACATGTCTTTAGTTCCATATCTAAAAAAATAGAAATGTGAACTAAATAGGTTTAAGATAACTTCAAGTTCTAAATTTGATTTGTAAGTAGCCCTTCTTTTGACACTGTTGACATTCTTCTGGAAGCCTTTCTGGACAGACTCTTTCTTACTAGCTTTCCCATTGCTTTGAATGTGCTTATCTTTAAACAAAGGAATGGATTCTGTGTATATATTTATCATTTGTAATTGTCTGTGTTTAGTCTCTCCTGTGAGAGCTGGTACCAAAATTATAAGCTTTTATTCTCCTCCTAGCATTTGAGTAAGCACCACTTGCCTTGAAAGGCTAATTTGTTAGTTCTCTCTTTCTTTTCTTTTTTAACTAAAGGAAGTTTTCTCTAACTTGTCGCCAGGAAAATTTCGTATTTCAGATGGCAGAAATAAGAAATACGTATTTTCTGAGAGCAGTTCCACTCCTTTATCAGAGGCTTCATTTCTGAACTGCACTGTTCACAGATGTTTCAGTACTCAGGTTGACTGGAGAAGGCTCTGGTCCCTGGTCCATGCTCCCAACGCTTGTAACCGAGTGGTCCCAGCAGCGCAACCAGCAGTGCGGTAGAGTCTGCAACTGGAGCTTGCTGCGAGCTGAAAGCTGCCTCCACGCTTTTCCTTTCACTGATGGAAAAATAAACAGCACTTTCTAGCCCGGTGAAGGCAAAACCTGTTTTTCCAGAAATAGTATATACCCTGACTAATTTTCATTGCCGTTTTCGTTATAAAATGTGCGTGTGTGAATTGTTGGAACAGTTAGCTTACTGTTTAAACATATGATCACTTCAGATTATACAAAGGATTTTATATATGTATCTCAACATTTTGTCCAGGACCTTTGAATGTCACTTACTTTCTAGAGATATGTGGGTCTAATTCTCTTGTTTTTCTACTCAGATTGCCTGAAGAAAAGCCAAAGAAATTGTCTTAATTGCTCCTGAGGGCAATGATGGATGAAGGAAAGACAGGTAAGGAGAAAAAGAGATAAAAGAAATAATGTGAGGAAAAAGGGGAGAGATTTGTAACTACTTAAGAATATGTGGTAAGAATGATGCAAGGAGGACATAATCCTGTGAAAATAAATGCATTCTGGCAGTCCCAATAATGGGTAGAAGAACATAAATATTATTCAATCCTAGGGAACTGAATAAGATAATTGCAGGAAACGACCACTTTCTGGAAAGCTCTTATATTCTTGGGGATAAATGTCTTACAGCAATTTGAGATATATTTTCAACTGATGAGGTTTATAATCCTGCTTCTTTCACAAATGTACCTATAGATCCATGTTGGCAATTTTGACACTGATCAAATAAACAATTGTTATTATTTTAACCTCACGAAATAAATACCCATAGTAAGCTTTTAGATAATCCAAAATTGCATGGATTAGAAGTACATTTAACTTCCCCCATAAAAGGACATTTTGGGGGCATTGTGTTGATACCAATTAGCCTTTTAGAGGTGAGGAAAGGACACCTTAATTTCTCTCCCTAGAAACTCAACTCAGTGACCCAGTCTCATGGGGATTTAAGAAAGTTAACTTGTAGACATCTCAGAAGCCTAATCAGATAAAAATCCAGTGATTTGGGATTCCTCAGTTTCAAAGTCATTATACAAGACAAAAGGCAGATCATGGTTATTAAATTAAATGTAACCACTCTAATGGAGAAACATAACCACAGCAAAGAAAAGAATGATCAGAAGCTTCATTTTGTGGTTTCAGAATTATTTTTAACAAGACCATCAAAATACATTTAAGACAAACAAACATGGAACCAAAGAGAACTTTCAATAGATACTTAAGACATCTATCATAGGGTACTGGTATTATGATTGAGGACTTATTCTCTTACAAACTTTCATTTCAAGTTACGTTTGTGAATGGCTATCATCTTTTTCCTTTAGCTTATTATTTAGAAGCAATTCCCTATTGGTTATAAGTAGCCTTTCTTACCATAGGTCCTCTGTCAGTACCAGAAACCTAAGACAATATTTTGGGGGCAATTTGGTCACTTGCAACAAGACTAACATTAGAATTTTTATTTTTTTATTTTTTGTATTTTAAGTCAAAAAGAACCTGGCTATGTTTCCACCTTGGGTCTTTGTCTTGCTTGCTGAAGCCATAGAAAATAATAACTCTCCTAGTGACTGCCCTTCAGACATTTGAGGGCAGTGGTTCTTTACCTTCAAATTAAATCCACTCATGTAGATTAGATTAAGCATCCCTATTTCTTTCCATCCTTCCCCATTTGGGAATTTTCCAAATTGTCTATGTCTCTCTTTAGAGAACAGCCCACTTAACAGGGCTCTAAACAATAGATGGAACTGTCAATTTAAGCCTAAACATTGATGACTAAAGCTTGCAATCACATTTGGGGTTTTCTGGAGAGCTTCTTCATTAGAGTAATTTATTTTAAACATAGAATAAAATGTCTCCAGTTCTTTGTCACAGACCCCACTCTGTATTTATGCAGAAGTTTCTGTGGACTATATTAAGTGCTATATATTCATCCATGAATTCACCTTAATTCCATCTTCCTTTTCAGCTATAATTTCAAGCTGTTTATTCAGTGATGGTGAATCTGCAATTTACTTCCAACCATGTATTACAGTGAAAATCACAAATCTTCCTGTGGATTATCAGTAGGAGATCATTATTCTTGATTTCTTTGGCCCTCAATGGAGATTAGTGCGCTGTTGGTACCAGCAAGTGTTAGGCAACATTAAAAAATCTGTTTTAATTATTGAAAATATTTGGATAAATATTAAAATAATTGTGCACAATGTTGAAATTGAATCTATCAATTTCTATAAACATAATAAGGATTTGCTTTAGTTTTTTAAGTCTTTTTCTTTTGTGTTTTTGTGGGATTTTAGAATAATTATTATTTCTCATTATAAATATGAATTTGTCTTGCTGGTCTGATGCCAAAAACTGAATTATATACTGTAGAATCACGGATGGCTCTGCTGGGCTCTGACTCATGACCTAAATTAAGAGATGGTTCTGACTGTTTTCTCAAGGGTAAATTCTGCTTCTACATCTGAGCTACAAATTAAGACACTGAGTTTAAAAAAGATGCTAGGGTCTGAAGAACATGTTCAAGGGCGGAAGTGTAGAAGAGACAAGCTGTTGTTGATAGATCCAAAATGCAAATGTTGATAGATGCAAATGCTGGCCTACAGGCAATATGCCCTTCCCAGGAAAAACGTGCAGAAAAAAAATCCTCTGGATTCAGGCAGACCCTAGGGAAAAGCTGCAGCTTATGGCTTGCCCTGGCCAGTGTTAGAACAGTGGTTAGAGCATTGGCCCCTACACTGAAGGGTCTTAGGTTAGATTCCTGGTCAAGGTCATGTACCTGGGTTGCAGGTTGGATCCTCTGCCCCAAGTCTGGGCATGTGAGGGAGGCAACCAATCTCTCTCTCTCCCTCCCTCCCCCATCTTTCTCTCTCTCCCCTTGCTCCACCTCTTCAACTCTCTCAAAAATCAATGAGAAAAATATCCTCCAGTAAAGATTAACAAAAATAAATAAATAAATAAATAAATAAATAAATAAATCCTAATATATAAAAACCCTGGGTCCATCACGATCAGATCGACCAACCGGAAGTCAGCCCTGCAGTCAGCTGAGGCTGCAGGTGTGGTGTCCCAGCACTGACTGCTGAGGGGGCTGCGAATCAGGCCTGGAGAGATGTCTGAAGAGAGAAGCAGGGTCTGATCCGTAGCCTGTGTGACAACTGTTGATCAGCACTTGCCTCTCTCTCTCTCTCTCTCTCAGGGCTGGGCCAGCAGCTGCACCTCCATTTCTCTCCAGGCCTCCACTGGGGTTCCTGATCAACCCTACTTTTCTGATCAGGCCTCGCTGATAGGCCCACAGATGCTGACTGGCATAGAAACCAACCAATCAGAACTAAATCTGGGTGAAGTGTGAAGAGCTAATGGCTGCCTACGAAGCGGAGCTTTTGATGATGAATGGTATAGAAACTGACCAATCAGAACCAAAGTGGTGGGCAGAGGAGGGCAGTTGGGGGCGAGATCAGGCCAGCAGGGGAGGACAGTTAGGGGCAATCAGGCGGGCAGGCAGAGGGGTTAGGGGCAATCAGGAAGGCAGGCAGGTGTGTGGTTAGGAGCCAGCCTTCCCAGATTGTGAGAGGGATGTCTGATTGCCGGCAGTCGGACATCTCCCAAGGGGTCCCCGATTGGAGAGGATGCAGGCTGGGCTGAGGGAAAGTCGTCCCCACCCCCCCCGCATGAATTTCATGCACCGGGCCACTAGTAAATAAATAAATATGTCTTGATTTTAGTAATGCTAATGAAAACATCTTACCTATAGTTTTGATTTACTTTCTTCTGCTTTTGTCTGAGAATTCAAAAGCTATTGTTTGAAAACCAAATTTTATCCACTGTTTTTCGTATTCAGGCATTTCTGTGCTTATAATTTTGTCCTTCCTTTCTGGGTCCAAGCATTTTCACAACAGTCTCTCTAGCTTTTTTGTCCTCTAACAGATGAATACAAGAGGTTTGTTTGAAAGGGCTTGTTGAAAAATGTTAGCTGTCTTAATACAATATCAGTGAAGACTCAGTTTACTGTCAAAATTGCACTCTGGTCCATTTATTTAGGTTTTTATGTTTTGTTATTGTTTTTTGATTTTTGTTTCTCTGTGATATGAAAAAATTAATTTATCCCTTTTAAAAAATTGAAGAAATATTTTATCTGACCTAGAGCTTTGCTAATATTTAAATAAATGTGATACTATTTAAAAATATTTGATGGAAGGAAAACACCTTTTCCTTGGAAGGAGGAGAACAATAAGATTACTCAAAGTGATTAATAACAAGGACAGTGACTGTGCATGTTGATGGTGGATAGGAGCCAAACATTGATGTGACTCTCCTTGAGAAATAGAAATGAGCATGGCTTTCTGACACTTTTTGGTAGGATGAAAAAGAGAGAAGATCTGCCTGCTAGGGTTGAAGTCCAAAAACAGTAGAGCCAGCGATTGCCTTTGGAATGAGTTTTCTGATACATGCTTAAGAATAATCTAACAGTTATTTCTTTCCAAGTCTTGAGAGAAAAAATAAATTAGACACAAATTGGTGACAAGTGACAGTGTGTAAAAGCTACTTAATTATAACTGTGTAAGTTCTAAGACTGATTTTCAAGGTACCTCTATCCTCCTAATGCTTTTCATCAACCAAAATGCTTTTCCCCTTAGTACATATTTTGTCCATATTTCAAAAGCAGGACCAGACAGCAGTGTGTATGACTTGATCTCAACCCATATAGGCTTATCCATTCCAGGTTTCCGGAAGAAAGTTTCTGCCCTTGACTATAAGAAGATGAAGTTCTTTATGAAACTAGCCTTCCTTTTCTCATGATATGATTCATAAAAGGCAAGGATGACTGTGGTTGCACTTGACTTGGGTGAGTATGATCTTAATCACGGTTGAGGTTCTCCATAGGGAACAGAAATGACCGTGGTTACCTGACTAGTAGATGCAAGTACTTCCTGGGTCCTCTCTCTGTGATGGTCCTCAGTGCCCCACTTAGGACACCCTTCCCCAATACAAACTACCCAGGGACCAGTTGATAAAGTAAATCTCAATGACGAGTAAAGCTCTCAGGGAGTGGATGGACTTTTATCTGTATATAATCAAATTCCTATTAACTTTAAGTCATTGTGTATCAGGCTGGGGATATTTCTAAAGCTGATGGATCTCCCGCTCACAGTGACACTTCTGGAAAACAGCTCTCTAGAAGTATATGATTCAGTCCTACACATTTCCATGATGAGAGACTGGTTCCTTTGGCCTGTAAAATGCCCGTAGGCCACATCAATTATGTAATCTTTAGAGAATTCTCTTGGAGAGTGAAGTCTATGCTCTTCTCCACTATTTCAGTGTATTGATTTATGAGTTTAACCTAAATAAGTAGTGGTTCTTAACTTTCCTGAGTGATGGACT